GAACCCCTGTGCTAGAGCAGTGGCGTACATAACAGGGTCGCAGGGGTCGCAGCTGCGACCGGGCCCGGCCCACCAGGGTGCCCGGCCGCCCCTGCGACCCGGTATGTAGCCACAGGGCCAGCCTCTTCCCCTGGGGGGCCCAGGAGCAGGCCACCTCAGGGCCCCCCGAGGCTGGCCCTGCTGTCACCGGGAAGGCGGGTGGCCGGTCGGGCAGGCGGGCGCACAAAGGAGCACTCAGTACTTCCTCTTCAGCTCCCTCGCGCACCGCACTGATACCGGAGCCGGAAGATGACGTCATCTTCTGGCTCCGGCATCCCTACGCGGTGCGCGAGGGAGCTGAAGAGCAAGTACTGAGTGCTCCCTCGCGCGCCCGCCTGCCCGACCGGCCACCCACCCAGGAGCCCAGCAGCACCACTGGACCCCAGGGAATCCCCCCAGCACTCCAAAAGGTAAGGAGGCTGGGGGAATTACATTTAAAAAAAAACAAAAAAACATGTGTTAGAGTGAGTGTTAGTGAGTGTTAGAGTGTGTGTTGGAGTGAGTGTTAGTGTGTGTGAGTGTTAGAGAGAGTGTTAGTGTGTGAGTGTTAGAGTGAGTGTGTGTTAGAGAGAGTGTTAGTGTGTGTGTCTGCTAGTGAGTGTTAGAGTGAGTGTGTGTTAGAGTGAGTGTTAGTGTGTGTGTCTGCTAGTGAGTGTTAGAGTGAGTGTTAGTGTGTGTGTCTGCTAGTGAGTGTCAGTGAGTGTGTTACTGTGTGTGTCTTACTGAGTGTGTGTGTTAGTGAGTCTGTTTGATGTCTGTTAGTGAGTGCGTGTTTGTCAATGAGAGTGTATGTTTTGTGAGTGTGTATGTATGTCTGTCGCTGAGTGTGTCTCTGTCAGTAAATGTGTGTGTCTGTTAGCTAGTGTGTATGCGTCTGTAAGTGTGTGTGTGTCTTCAGCACTTACCTTTCTCCAGTGGCGGACTCCCTTGGCGCTGGGGATCCCTCAGCCTCTCAGCTCCAAATGCAACCGCGCACGCATTCAAACCGCCCATAGGAAAGCATTACTCAATTTTTCTGAAACTGCTATGTTTTCAGCTGCAGGGCTAAAACTAGAGGGACCTTACACCCAGACAACTTCATTGAGCTAAAGTGATCTGGGTGTCTGTAGTGGTCCTTTAAGTGTGCGTGCATCTGCATG